ACCTGTACCTCCACCTGCCTTGCCTCCTACCTGTACCTCCAACTGTACCTCAACCTGTACCTCCTCCAACGCCTGTACCTCCTACCTGTACCTTCCAACCTGTACCTCCAACCTGTACCTCCTACCTGTACCTCCCCACCTTGTAACCTGTACCTCCTAACCTGTACCTCCTACCTGTACCTCCCCACCTGTACCTCCAGCCTGTACCTCCAACCTGCTTCCCCTCAACCTGTACCTCCCCTACCTGCCTCAACCTGTACCTCCCAACCTGTACCTCCAACCTGTATCTCCAGCCTGTACCTCCCTACCGCACCCAGCCTGTACCTCCAACCTGTGCCTCCCACCTGTACCTCCAACCTGCCCCCCCAACCTGTACCTCTCCCTACCTCAGCCTCCAACCTGTACCTCCAACCTGTACCTCCAACCTGTACCTCCTACCTGGCACCTCCAGCCTGTACCTCCAACCTGTACACCACCTACCTGCCCACCTCAACCTGTCCACCTGTGCCTCCAACCTGTACCTCCAGCCTGTACCTCCAACCTGCCTCCGTACCTGCCCTCAACCTGTACCTCCAACCTGTACCTCCCCTGTACCTCCAAGCCTGTACCTTCAACCTGTCCTACTATGTACCTCCTACCTGTACCCCTTACCTGTTACCCCTACCTTTACCCCCTACCTGTACCCCTACCTGTTTCCCTTACCTGTGTCCATTCCTGTCTTTACCTGTCCCATTACCTCACCCACCTCCCTACCTTCTCTGATACCTACCATACCTACACCTATCCCATTACTATCACCCTTACCTATCCCATTACCTATCACCACCTCCCATTACCTACACCCTTACCCCATCATTCCTATCACCCTTACCTATCCCATTTACCTATCACCCTTACCTATCCACCTATCACCCTTACCTGTCATTACCTGTCACCCTTACTATCCCATTACCTATCACCTTGCCTATCCATTACCTGTCGCCTGCCTATCCATTACCTATCACCCTACCTATCCATTACCTATCACCCTTACCTATCCATTCCTATCACCCCTTACCTATCCCATTACCTATCACCCTTACCTGTCCATTACCTGTCACCCTTACCTATCCCATTACCTATCACCCTTGCCTATCCCTTACCTGTCACCCTTACACCTATCCCTTGCCTATCACCCTTACCTATCCCCCTTACCTATCCCATACCTGTCACCCTTACCTATCCCATACCTGTCACCACTTACCTATCCATACCTATCACCCTTACCTATCACCTACAGTGTTAATAAGCAGTAATCTCGCTATATATATCAGCGCCTAAATTAAGAAATATTCTATACTAACTAATACAACACCAATATTTGCTGTGTGCTTGTATTAAAATGCTATCATCTATTTTAATTTTTATTTTATTTTTTATATTTATTTATTTTTTATTCTCAGTGCAACAACAACCTGAGAAATTCAACCCCGTGTTATCAACGTTGGTTGTACACAACCCGTGGTATTAGTTCCTTACACCCCGTGTTATTATGTTATCAGTAAAAATAATGAAGTTTAGAGATGGTATGTGTGTTGTGGTTGAAATAGCAATTTTGCCCACCAACATGTCGGCAGCTGCATCAGGGCGCACCCATTGCAGCAGCAAGAACAAGCGGATGTGGCGGTGGTGCAAGCTGTTATGGTAACGACTATAACTACGCTAACCAAGGCTTCAACCCAGCCTCCTACTCAACCACAACCACCGCCAACAACCCACCACTATTCAACCATCCCGCCACCACTACCACCAGGAGACAGCCCTACCCGGTGATACACAGGTCGACCATGATAGTACAGAGGTCGACCATGATGAGTACTGAGGTCGACCATCGATAGTACTGAGGGTCGACCATGATAATGAAGTCGACCATGATAATACAAGAGGTCGACGCCTGATAATCTGAGGTCGACCGCTGATATAAAGAGGTTCCGCAGATAGTACAGAGGGTCGACCATGATAATACTGAGGTCGACCATGATAATACAGAGGTCAAACCGTGATAATACAGAGGTCGACCGTGATAATCAGAAGGTCGACCATGATAATGCAAGAGGTCGACCATGATAATTCTGAGGTCGACCATGATTAGTGAGGTCGACCATGATAACCTGAGGTCGACCGCGCCGATAATACAGGGTCGACCGCCGAATTTGGTCGACCATGATAATACAGAGGTCGACCATGATAGTCTGGTCGTACATGATAATTCTGGGTTCGACCGTGATGATTCTGGTCGACCTTGTTAATACAGAGGTCGACCGTGATATCTGAAGGTAGACCGGATATTAATTCTGAGGTCGACCATGATAGTGTTTTTGCATAGTAGTAATGACGGATATTTTAGCTCAAACTGTTGGGCTGTAAGTAATGTCATGTTTACTGGGTGTGCCTGCCCGTATACGGTGTGTAGTGTGTTGACGAGTTTGAAGATGAGACCTAGGAGGTGGTGTTGGGTGGTAGTAAGGGGCTTGTTTGTGTATGATCACATGCTCGGCAGCCCTCACCCATCGAGAGGGGGTTGGGGAGGTGGCGGCAGGGTATCGGCACTAGCTATTCAGACCTGACAACTTTTAACCTGGTTTCTCTTGAGACTTTCAACACGTGTTTTGCTGTTTGCTTATTGTGTACACAGGTAGATGGGTCCATTGCATCGTTTTTTGGTGTGACAACAAATATGGCATTAAGTTACTCATTGTAGGGTGTTAGATTGGAGCTAATTACATAGCTATGCATGTATGATTTGGTTTAAATACTAAAATGAATTATTCAACAGATTTGACCGAATTATAATGTTCGAGTTTTGTTGTCTAAGTCGATTGCCCTTTAATCGCCTGATTTTAGTTTTACTAGTAACATGTTCTGAGTCGACCATGATAATACTGAGGTCGACCATGATAATACTGGGGTCGACCATGATAACTGAGGTCGACCATTATTGACGACCGTGATAAGAGGTCGACCGATAACCGGAGGTCGACCGTGATAGCAGAGGTCGACCGTGATATGCAGGGTCGACCATGATAATACAGAGAGTCGACCGTGATATTCAAGTCGACCGTGATAATACAGGGGTCGACCGTGATAGCTCTGAAGGTCGACCGTGATAATACTGGGTCGACCGTGATAACTACTGAGGTCATTCGTGATAATACAGAAGTCGACCGTGATAATACAGAGGTCGACCATGATATATGAGGTCGACCATTGATAATACAGAGGTCGACCGTGATAATACTAGAAATATCTGAGGTCGACCGTGATAATACAGAGGTCGACCGTGATAATACAGAAGTCGACCGTGATAATACAGAGGTCGACCATAATCTTCTGAAGTCGACCGTGATAGTCAGAGGTCGACCATGATAATACAGAGGTCGACCATGATAATACTGAGGTCGACCATGATAGGCTGGTGACCGTGATAATACAGAGGTCGACCATGATATACTGGGGTCGACCATGATAATACAGAGGTCGACCATGATAACTAAGAGGTCGACCATGATAATACAAGGGTCGACCATGATATAGAGGGTCGACCATGATAATGCTGAGGTCGACCATGATATTCTGAGGTCGACCGTGATAATACAGGGTCGACCGTGATAATCTCGACCGTGATAATACAGAGAAGTCGACCGTGATATGAAGGTCGACCATGATAATACAGGTCGACCGTGATAACCTGAGGTCGACCGATAATACAGAAGTCGACCGTGATAATGAAGGTCGACCATGATAATACAGAGGTCGACCGTGATAACCTGAAGGTCGACCGTGATAATACAGAGGTCGACCGTGATATCTAGAAGTCGACCGTGATAATACAGGGAGTCGACCGTGATAATACAGAGGTCGACCATGATAGCCAGGGTCGACCATGATATACAGAAGTCGACCGTGATAATACAGAGGTCGACCGTGATCTCTGGTCGACCGTGATAATACAGGGGTCGACCGTGATACTCTGAGGTCGACCGTGATAATGCAGAGGTCGACCGTGATAACTGGAGGTCGACCGTGATAATACGAAGTCGACCGTGAATATCTGAAGGTCGACCATGATAATACGAAGTCGACCGTGATTATACAGAGGTCGACCATGATAATGAGAGAGGTCGACCATTGATATCTGGTCGACCATTGATAAGACTGAGGGTCGACCATGATAACAGAGGTCGACCATGATAATACTGGGGTCGACCATGATATCTGAGGTCGACCATGATAATACAGAGGTCGACCATGATATCTTCAGGGTCGACCATGATAATCTGAGGTCGACCATGATGATATCTGAGGTCGACCATAATAAAACTCGTTGAGAATAGAAAATAAGGTACCAACTCGCTCACAATAGCATAAAAAGGTACCAACTCGCTCACAATAGCATAAAAGTGTACCTAACTCGTCATAATAGCATAAAGTGCCAACTCGCTCAAATAGCATAAAAAGTGTACCAACTCGCTCACAATAGCATAAAGTGTACCAACTCGCTCACAATAGCATAAGAATTACCAACTCGCTCATAATAGCATAAAGTGTACTGCTTCGCTCACAATAGCATAAGGGTAACACTCGCTCACTAGCATAAAGTGTACCAACTCGCTCATAATAGCAAAGTAGTACCAACTCGCTCTAATAGCATAAAAGTGTACCAACTCGCTCAAAAGCATAAAATTAGCTGTCACTCACAATAGCCCATAAAGTGTACCTGCTCTCACAATAGCCCATAAGTGTACCAACTCGCTCACAATAGCCCATAAAAGTGTAGAAACTCGCTCACAACCTGGCATAAAGTGTACCAACTCGCTCACAATATCCATAAAATTGCAAACTCGCTCTACCTTTAGCATAAAAATGCATCCTTCTCGCCATATAAAAAAAAAAAAACAATCACACTCAAAGCTCCCACAATAAATGCCGTAACACAATACTGAAAGAATATCTCCCCTCACGTGATCATCTATACATGTTGACGTTGATTTAATACGTTGTTTATGTCTTGGGCAGGCAGGCAGGCAGGCAGGCAGGCAGGCAGGGGAGGATCGAGTGTGTAGAGTATGTGATGGAACTATATTGTTGTTGACGACGTTTGCTGGCTGAATGTCGGACGCGAGGGTGAATGTTGCTGGACGTTATTACTACACTGGTCCTGACAAAACAAACGGACACTGTGTAGAGGAAGGAGCACTACTAACGCCACTACCGCCGCCGCTGCTCCTGATACTGTTACTGATCCACTCTTATCTGTGTGTACAAGTAATGATCTCCTCCCTCTTCCTCCTCCTCTTTGTTCTCTGCCTCAACCCTAGCTCCTCCTCCAATTCCATCACACTTACCGAATACCCTGTTCCTCAGTAACATGCTCCGCTTACTATAACCAATCCCCGTCCGATATCAACCAAGTCCCCACCCTACCACAAGATCCCCGCCCACTACCACCAAGTTCGCCCACTACCACCAAGTCCCCGCCCACTACCTCTCCGCCCACTACCAAGTCCCCTTCCCACTACCACCGAGTCCCCGCCCCACCACCAATCCCCGCCCACTACCACCATGTCCCCGCCCACTACCACCAATCCCTGCCACCAGTCCCGCCCACTACCACCAAGTCCCCGCCCACTCCCACCAAGTCCCGCCCACTACCACAAGTCCCCACCCACCACCAATCCCCACCACTACCACCAATCCCCGCCCACTACCACCAAGTCCCGCCCTACCACCAAGTCCTCGCCCACTACCACCAAGTCCCCGCCCACACTACCAGCTACCCATTATCACCAAACTTCATCCCCTCGAGATGCTCTGAATCACGTAATTCCTCCCACAGCAGATAATATCACACAGGGACTATTCAAACTAAAACCTCGCCTCACCTCCTCCCCACAATCTCCGATGATTCACTCCCGACTCACCCCCCACCTCGTAGAGTCGTACTGTTCAGGAAGTGATATTCACTACCAGGAGGAGTAACGAGTGAGTGACCAGCGGCAGCTCCCTCCCTCCTCCTCCCCAGAGATCGATGACAACACCTGACAGACTCCCTACAGTCACCAGGCGAGGACGATGTTTGTAAACAATGAATAATGGTGAAACGCTTGAAGATTCACCTCCTCTTATCCTCTCCTCCAGGCTTATATCACTTGAAGATTAACCTAGCTTAGCCTAACCTGACCTAACGCTTGTCCTTCTAACTAACGCTAGCCTAACCTTCAACCTAACTAACGCTAACTAACCTAGCATAGCCTAACTGGCGTGACGCAAGCACCAACGCTGGCATGACCTGGCGCTGGCCTGACTGGCAGCTGGCCTGACACAGCGCTGGCCTCTGTAACGCGCTGACACCGGCAGCACAGCACCAGCGAGCCTGGCCTGGCGCAACCTGGCCTAACGCTGACAACGGCGCTTCTTCGCCTGGCAGCTGACTAACCTGGCGCTAACCCTGACCCAACGCTAGCTTCAACCTGGCACGCGCAACTGGCCTGGCAGCTTGTCGCTGCGTGGCCTGACGCTGGCAACGCCTGGCGCTGCTGGCAGCGGCCTGGCAGCTGGCTGGCTCGCTGGCCTGGCGCTGCTGGCCTGGCTGTCGCCCCTGGCCTGGCCTGGCTGGCGCTGGCCTGGCCTGCGCTGGCCTGGCCTGGCGCCTGCCTGGCACCTGCGGCTGCAGCTCTGCGCCTTGGCCTGGCCTGGCGCTGGCCTGGCCTGGCACAACTAACGCTTCAACTAACCTGGCTGCAACGCCGCAACGCTTTAGCGCTACACAACCTGGCGCTTCAACTAACTAACGCCTTGAACAGCGGCTGCTGGCACAACGCTGGCAGCAACTGGCGCTAGCCTGGCAACGCTGGCCACAACAACGCTAACTGGCGCTGCAGCCTGGCACTAACGCTGGCCTGGCCTGACTGGCAGCCTGGCAGCGCCAGCCTGGCAACGCCACTGGCAACGCTGAGACGCAACGCTGTGGGGGCCTGACGGCGCCAGCCTGGGTGGCAGCCAGCCTGGCAACGCGCAGCGGCCGGCTGGCAATGCTGGCCTGGCAACGCCAGCTGGCAGCGGCCTGGCTGGCGTAGCCTGGCAGCGCTGGCCTGGTTTGCATGGCCAGCCTGGCAGCGCCAAGCCTGGCCAGCGCGGCCTGATTTAGCGAACCGGCAGCGTGGCCTGGCAGCAGCGGCCTGGCGCCGGCCTGGCAGCGCTGGCCTAACCCCAACGCCAGCCTGGCAATGCCGAGCCTGGCAGCGGCCTGGCAGTGGCTGGCAACGCCAGGCGGCAACGCCCAGCCTGGCAGTGCTGACTGGCAACTGGCCTGGCACAAATGCTGACCTGGCAGCGCTGGCCTGGCAACGCTAGCCTGGCAATGTTGGCCTGGCAACGCCAAGCCTAACAATGCCAGCTAACTTAACGCCAGCCTGGCAACGCCAGCAGCAGCGCCAGCCTGGCAGCAGCAGCCTGACGCGCCAGCTAACTAAGTAGCAGCCTGGCAGCAAGGCTGGCAACGCCCAGCAGCAATGCTAGCCCTAGCGCTAACCTGGCAATGCCCTAGCTTAACGCTTTAACCACAACAACGCAGCACAGCTTGTTGGCCTGGCAACGCCAGCCCCAATTGTGCCGGCCTGGCAGCAGCCTGGCAGCGGCCTGGCAGCGCCGGCCTGGATTGCGCCAGCCTTTAACGGCGCCCTTTAATGCTCAACTAACACTAGCCCAACTTGCTAACCTAACAACACTAAACTGGCAACACAAACCTGGCAATGTTGGCCACAACTTAACGCCAGCCTAACCCAATGCCAGCCTGACGGCACGGCCTAACGCCGCCAGCCTAACTGACGCCAGCTAACCAGCGCCAAGCTAGCAACGCCAGGCCTAGCTGGCCTGGCAGCATGGTAACGTCAGCAGCCTATGTGCTAACCTAACATGCCCTGCAATGCTAATAACCTAACAACACTAACCTGGCAACGCTAACCTGGCAATGTGAGCCACAGCAACGCCAGCCTATTAACGCGTGGCTAGCGCTAACGCTAACCTGGCAATGCTGGCTAACCAGCACTAACCTGGCAGCATAACCTGGCAATGTTAACGCTGCACGCTAACCTGCAGCAGCCTAACAACGCCAGCCTAACTGGCGCCAGCCTGGCAACGCCAGCTGGCAGCGCCAGCCTGGCAGCGCCAAGCCTAACCCCAATGCTAACCTAACGCTAGCTAGCCCAGCACTAACCTGGCAACACTAACCTGGCAATGTTGGCCCAACTTAACGCCAGCCTAACTTATGCCAGCCTGGCCCAGCAACCTAACCCAACGCCAACCTGGCAGCGCCCTTCAGCAGCCAGCCTGGCAGCTTGGCCCTGGCAATGCAACCTAACGCCCAACTGGCAACATGGCCTGGCAGCGCCGAAGCTGGCAACGCCAAGCCTAACAACATAACCTAACAATGCTTAACCTAACCAAATCGTTAGGCAAATAAAGCTCTCTGTAGTGAAGGACTTAGGTCGATGGTGACGAACTTTGAAATAATGAGACAGAAGAAGATTGACAGTCAAACAGAAGATTAGTCAAACAGAGAGAGATTGACAGTCAAACAGAGAGAAAAGTTGACAGTCAAACAGAGAATTGGTGCAAACAGAGATTGACAGTCAAACAGAGATTGACAGTCAAACAGAAGAGAGAGAATTGACATTCAAACAGAGATTGACAGTCAGAACAGAGAGAAGAAGAGAAAGAGATTGACAGTCAAACAGAGAAAGAGAGATTGACAGTCAAACAGAAGAAGATTGACAGTCAAACAGAAGAAAGATTGACAGTCAAACAGAGAAATTGACAGTCAAACAGAGATTGACGGTCAAACAGAAGAAAAGATGACAGTCAAACAGAGAGAGAATTGACAGATCAGAGCAGAGAGATTGACAGTCAAACAGAGAGGGTGACGGTCAAACAGAAGAGTTGACAGTCAAACAGAGAACGATAAAAGTGGAAGAGAACACATACAGACAAGATCAAAACATGGAAAAGAAACACACACACACACACACACACACACACACACACACACACACACAGTACGTGACGAGAGCATGAATATCTGGCCACAGGGTTTGGCTGTCCCCTTAGCCTGAGTCCTCTATGTAACCAGATCTCACTTGTCAGAGTGGAGAATAAATAAATAAATAAATAAATAAATAAATAAATAAATATATAAATAAATAAATAAATAATGAATATAAGTAAATTAAAATGAATAAATATAAATAAACATAAATAAGAAATAAATAAAACAAAAGTAAAATCAAAAGTTTGACCAGTTGTGTGGACGGGGGGGCAGCTTAGGATCCAGGCTCCTATAGTGACTTTTAACACAATATTCACAGGTTTGAGATATACTGTACAGGCAGGCACTCATTACATACATTCATGGCCCGTCCTTTAGAGACGAACAGGCGACCGCCCGGGGCCCCGCGCGTGTGGGGGAGCTCCGCGGGGCCAACTGAGACCAGTGACCTCGGACATACCTGTTGACTGGTTAATCTGACCTGACGGCTTACGCCACCATCACCCAACCGTCACCTGGGGGTTGGTGGGGCCCACTCAGTGGCTAGATGCCCCAGGCTCCCACACCCCCCAGTGACAACCCTGCATATGCATACATACATATCCAAACACCAAGTACCTACCTGGCACACCAAGCATACACACACATACAAACATATTCTCTCTCTCTCTCTCTCTCTCTCTCTCTCTCTCTCTCTCTTTTCTCATCCTGCTGGACCCGGGTTATCATATTCTCTTGGGGAGGAGGAGAGAAGGCGGATGGGAGAAAGAGGGAGGAGGAGAATGGAGGAGGAGGAGAGTGGAGAAAGAGAGGGTGAAGGGAAGAAGGTAGAGAAAGAGAAGGAGGAGGTTGAAGGAGGTGAGGAGAGAGGGGCGACAGGAGGAAAGGAAGGAGGAGAAGGAAGGAAGAAAGGAAGGTGGAGAACGAAAAAAGGAGAAAAGGAGAGGGGGTGTGTCTTCATTGAACCTTTAGCCAATCTGTCTCAACCAAAACACCTAGTATCGCTCCCCGTAACGTGGCCTCTGACCACCTGAACAATAGCCACCCCAACCACCTTTTATTTTACCTGATGAGTAAACATTCTAACATTACCTGGGGCGTTAGGTTGGGTTGATTGGATTAAGTTGAGTTTAGATTGGGTTAGGTTTAAATGAATTGAGTTTAGGTTGAGTTTGGATTAAATAGGATTTAGTTAGGTTAGGTTTAAATTGGATGAGTGAGTGGTTAGGTTTAGGAATTAGGGTTGGG